CAGGCCTCATCATACAGCCACACCAACATCTCCGTACCGTGCCCTTTCTTGCTTCGCAGTCCGAAGGGTATCGTGCGGGGCCGCACACTTATTCGATCCTGCCATACCTCTAACCATTGTGCTCCCGCTGCTGACGCGGCGTCTGAGCGCGCGGTGGTCAAACTATGCAGAGCCTGGTATTACCTGGTCCGACCTCACTCCTCTCTACGCCATTCGGGCGGCATTCAGAACCTGAAGACGGCCTTGCCAAGTTCCGGTCAAAGTTCAGTCCTAACAGGCTTGAGCACCAGGGCTACCCGTCTCCGCCCATGTCCGAATCTCATTCCCCTTCTCGTCGACCAGCACAGTCTGTTGAATCTGCACGCCTCTCTTACCCTCCGCTGGCAGGCACATCCCAAAGACAGGATAGTTTGACTCAACCGCCGACTCTACCATCAGTATACGATCCGCGGTCTACGTCGGCTGCGCATGCTCTTCCTCTGCAGCGAGCACCTTACCCTGGGGAACCCCAGCACAGGGGTCAAGGGCTTCACTACCCGCCTGGACGTCCTCTCGAGCACCAACCTTACTCCCATGCCATCCCTCACAACTACGGCTATGGCTACCAAAATCCTGGCCTGCCCCCTTACGCTGGAGTTCAACACCCAAGGCCTATGGTGCAGCAAGGCGCAATGATCGCGCCTCCACCGGCAAGGCCTACTAAGCCAGCGCGAAGAACTAAAGCACACGTGGCGTCGGCTTGTGTTAATTGCAAGAAGGCGCATCTCAGCTGCGACATTCAACGCCCTTGTGGTCGTTGCGTCGCTTCCGGAAAGCAGGTCAGTATCTTTACTCCGCAACAGAAGCTCAACACAGCAAATGCCTCGCAGAACAGAATTAACGCGTCTAACAGGACACCTGCAAAGACGTGCAACATAAAAAGAGAGGAAGGCCACGGTTAAGAGACGATAGGGAGTTTACTAGGTCAGAAGACGGAAGACCACCACCTACCCAGCTCGTAGGAGCGCCACCTACCTCCGAACCTCACGCCCATCAGCCGACGTACCCCTTGTCTCAGCCATATCGAGCCTTCGAACCTCAACGAGTTTTGGAGAGTACTACCCATCAAAAAGAGCCTCATTCAGCTGCATCTGCACCTAGAGATACAGCCGGCGAGTACAGTGGAGTACAAGCGCCTCCCTTTGGTGCGGGACCGAACATGGCGTACCAAAAGCTTCCTGTCGTTTACCTAAATCTGGATCTGGTGATACAAAAAGCAAACCAAGCTTTTGCAGACCTTGTGTCGTTCCTCGGAGACATCAGGGGTAAACATCTTGGCGATCTTCTAGAAGCTCAGCAAAACGAAAGCATGCAGCGTCTGCGAAACGAGCTGCGCGATGAGCGTGATGAACGTGAGCCGACGTACATGGCGCCCATTACTCCGATTGGACAAGATCCTATGCGCGCGGTGATGGACTCTGTCGCAGATCATGACATTGACCATTTCACCCAGGGCTATACGAACAGGTCCATGTTCCTTAGCTTCCGCCTCCCGAGTAGTGGACAGTACCAGTCTCTGCAGGTCCAGATTCGGCTTGCTAGAACGTCTCTTTACTTCGTGACACTAGTCGTTTGCTCACCGCCGAGGCACACGGGTCCCACTCTTCTAACGCAGCAATTAGCTACTCCAACCGCAAGGCATACCCCACAGACGATGTCTGCGCCGTCAATGGCTCCCGTCACGCAGTACACGCCACATCAAGATCGGCGAACATCGACGAACAGTTCTGCACCGAACTCCCCCTTTTTCAACTTCTCGTCAATCCGAACATCTCTTCCTACGTTTAGTCCTAGCTCCTACAAGAGCAGCCCGTCACACGGCTACTCCCCAACTGGAGGCCCGGAATCCGGGTACTTTCCCACATATCAGGGACCTCCACAACCCACAACCAGCGCATATCCTTCGCCATACGCGCAAAATTCTCGGCCCTCAGCAGGGACGTCGGAACCTCTGCGGGAGCTCAATCGCCCTCCACGTCTCGAAGGGCTGCACCTACCGCCTATCCGAACAGGGCCGGCACCTCTCGGCTCACCACTACACGTCGAAACAGGTGCTGGTGCCTCGGAACGCGAACGTGTGCGACCACGCGACTCTCCTTCGAGTAGCGCCGAACAGCGGAGGCCTGAATCGCCTGAGACGGGTAAGCGGAGGCGTCTCAATATACATGAGGTGCTGGACTAAGGCGGTAGGAGGGAGGAAGATGAGCAGCAATGCGTTCCTGAGACGGAACTGAGGAAGATGACATGGTACGTGGGGCATAAGCGGCGGGGTCTTTGCGGAAACGAAGGGACCATGTGTTTCCAAGAGGCGGCTATGGTATAAGGGTACCGAGGGACGGGTTCCCTTGTCTGACTGAAACTCGGCGCATTCGAGCGGGATGGCGCATGTTGCACACGGACAACGACATGGACTAGCCCTTGCTTTCATACTCATTTCGTCATCGCTCTTGGATGCATTTTCTGCGTGTCTGTCGTTTGCGTTGCATTTCAGGCGTTACCACTTGTCTTTCTGTCTTTTTCCTGCAACAAGCCATAAGCTGGGAGCTTGCCCACTCAATTTTGTTGCGTATCGCATCTTGCTCTTTCTGTTGCTCCCTCTTGACGCAATTAGCATGGACACACCATTTGGCTTCGGCTTCTGTTTCAATATAGTCGCATGTCCTGGCGTCGATACGACAATACCTTGTTTAACTGTTTGGTCATCTGGAGCGTTCGTTCTTCTTATATTTCCCTAGACGTCGCTCTGGGCTATCTTCGCAATCTTCTATCTCAGCACTCGTTGTCTAAATCTTCCACGTCCTGTACCACAGGTGATCCGTGCCCTCGCGTTGGTGTTTCATCATCATCCGACGAGTCGGGTGCTGCTCGTATGACAATTCGCATTTGTAAATAACAGACATTTGTGCGCTCGATCGATGGTCAGAAGTCGGTGAGAGGATTGAACTTTCCCGTTCGTTCTTCAAAGCGGAGCAGTAAGGGGATTATTCTGGGGTTGAGAACACGTCGTGCAGGTTAAAAGCGCGGTCTTGCCTGAGGGTCCAAGGGAGGGAGATCTGCCTACTGGTGCTGAGCAGTTCCATGAACATTGGATCAACACCACATATATACGGGAAACTGGAGTCTTGGACTGGTGGCCTTTAGGCCTGGGGAAATGATCAAGGACGATGGTCACATTTGATCTGAGCATTTCTATTCTTGGAATCACATTCAACATTCAACATATCTTTCTCTCTTTCGATAAGAGAACCACGGATACAAGTCCGGAAGTATATATAAACACAGCGGTGAGCAAACGGCAGCCTGGCTGTGCTCTAAAGATAGTGTGTGGGGGTTGGGGAATTATTGGCTGCTAGGCCAGTGGAGGATATACCCTTTTGTCGCATTTTGGTTCAATGCCGTCGAGAAACAACGGAAGTTGGACGTAGTATAAAATATACTAGCTCTGTTCCCTTATAGGAATACGAATGTGAGAAAAAGGGAGACCAGTGAGACCTTCTTTCACGAGTCTCTGTTGTTCACAGTACGTTTTTCAAAGTGCCATATAACATCGCGCTCTTGTCCACTATCTGTTGAGGCGTGTGTCGTGGTACAAGCCTCGAAATGTGAAACAGCTACTACGGGCTGGCGAAACTCTAATGATGTGACGAACACAGTGTTCGCGAGTTCCGCCTACCAGATGCGACGGAACGTAACACAAGCCTGTGGTGGAAATGAGGACACTGGCGTCAGAGTTGATGAAATATAGCGTGCGCACATTCAGGTTAATAATGCAAGATGCTTATTGAATATGCAATGTTAAGAACAAATGGGTATCTTGGTTATGAAAGTACAATTGGAAGAAAACGACCTGTCTTCTCAAGGACTGAACGCCGTCAACAGAGGACTGGATTCCAGACATTTGCAATCGCTACTGCTTTGGGAACAGCGCACTGGAAGCGATCATCCCAAAGCCTTCACCTTCTTCTTTTTCTTCTTTGCGCCATCAGCGGGCTCTGGCTTCTTTCCCTGCTGGTAGTCCCTCCAGCTGTTGATGCGCGTATCCCTGGTCTTCTCCCAAGCTTCATCTTGCTCCCTCTTCCTCTTGCGCTCCTTAATCTCCTCATCTTCCTTCCTCTGTGCACGTCCCTCTTCCCTCATAGCGGCCTTCATTTGCCTCTGCTTCCTCATCTCGTTGTCTCTGATGACCCAGATGACCTTCTGCCTCCACTCTTTCGCAAACTCTTCGCCACGTGTCTCTTCGTCGTCAGCCGTGAGCTTCTTCTCTCGCATGAGCAGCATGCGCGCATCGGCAATGTTCTCGTCTAACTCTGCGCGCAGCTTCTCGTCAAGTAGGACAGTCTGGGCTTTCTTGAGACGGTCAAAGGCATCGGGGGCGAGCTCGTTCTTGGTCTTGTCAGGATGAATAAGGAGGGACTTGGCGCGGTAGACTTTCTTGATGTCGGATTCGGGGACACCGGGCTGGAGATCGAGGACGGCGTAGGCATCGAGACTGAAAACACTACGGATGCCTGTGTTTGTTAGCATGAGATTCTAGTATAGTAAAATGAATGTGGTTAAGTTCTATCTTGGTTCAAGCAACCCTAAAGCGTAACTTACGGTCTATCTCAGCGTCCTTGTCAAGCTCCTTGCCGAGGCCCGCGAGCTGAGCATCGATATCATCGTCGGCCATGGTGAATGTATGGACGCGTTGTGTTGGTTCGGATATAGAGGGGTTGGAGGTGGGTATATTATTGTTTGAAAACTACAAAAGGAAGAGATCAGGACTCATCAAGCTGCACCCAGCTCCTTCCTTGTGTGGTTGGTGGAAGTGACGGTGAAGACAGCAGCGCGCGATGCCGCGTGAATCCCCGCGGCGAAGCGCACGGACCACCAAAGCCGAAGTTCTCCACCAAAAAGTTCTCTCGCGATGCGCCAACCAGCCTCAACACCGAAGCAAGCCGAAGACGAGGTAGTGCGCCGAAATGGTTGCATCTGGATTCACTGGTCGCACGCGACCTACCAAGGTCAAGAAGAGGGAGAACATCAAGAAGAGGACGCGCGATGATGTAGATGTCGCGAAGCTGGACCAGGCTGTCCAGGCACTGGTATGTATGCAGCGACTCACAGGAGACATGCAGCGCAGCAAATTAACCGTATACAGGACCCCAAGCATGGCGCTTACAAAGACTTCACCGACCTCCCGCTTTCCGACCCAACCAAGCAAGGCCTCAAATCGTCGCATTTCGCCGTCATGACAGATATCCAGGCAAAAGCCATACCGCTGGCCCTACAGGGACACGACATTCTTGGTGCCGCCAAGACTGGTAGCGGAAAGACTCTCTCCTTCATCGTACCCGTGCTAGAGAATCTGTACCGACATCAGCACATTGGCCCCGACGCTGGCTTGGGCGCCTTGATCCTATCCCCGACCCGAGAACTCGCTATCCAGATATTCGATGTCTTGCGCAAGATCGGACGACATGGGCACATGTTTGCGGCAGGTCTGCTGATTGGAGGAAAGAGCTTGCAGGATGAGAGGGAGGCTCTTACCAAGATGAACATTCTCGTCGCAACACCGGGCCGTATGCTACAGCACCTGTCGCAAACAGCAGCCTTCCAGGTGGACGACTTGAAAATGCTGGTGCTCGATGAGGCAGATCGGATCCTTGACATGGGCTTCCAGCGGGACGTCGATGCCATCGTTGAATATCTTCCTAAAGAAAGGCAGACGCTGCTCTTCTCGGCTACACAGTCAAAGAAAGTCTCCGACCTGGCTCGCTTGAGTCTTCAGGACCCCGAATACGTATCCGTACACGCCGAGGACAAGAGCGCGACCCCCAAGGGACTTACGCAAAACTACATCGTTTGCCCGATTGAGGAAAAGTTGGACACTCTATGGAGTTTCATACAGGCGAGCAAGAAGTCCAAGATTCTTTGCTTCTTTTCGTCTGCAAAGACTGTTCGATTCGTCTACGAAGCTTTCCGTCACATGCAGCCTGGTATACCGCTTCTTCATATCCACGGTCGTCAAAAACAGGGAGCTCGACTTGACACAACGGCAAAGTTCTCTGCGGCGAAACATTCATGCCTATTTGCGACGGATGTCGCAGCTCGAGGACTAGATTTCCCAGCAGTTGACTTCGTGATTCAAGTCGATTGCCCGGACGATGTCGATACCTACATCCACCGTGTCGGCCGAACAGCACGGTACAACCGGGAGGGACGCGGAGTACTGTTCTTAGCACCAAGCGAAGAGGAGGGCATGCTCAAGCGTTTGGAGGCCAAGAGGGTGCCCGTCGAGATGATCAACGTACGACAAAAGAAGCGTCAATCAATCAAGGACCAGCTACAGAACATGTGCTTCCAGGATCCAGCTCTCAAGTACCTCGGTCAGAAAGCATTCATGACGCACGTCAAATCGATATATCTCCAAAAAGACAAAGAGGTGTTCAAGCTCAAGGAGTACAACTTGGAAGCATACGCTGCTAGCTTGGGTCTACCAGGAACGCCAAAGATCAAGTTCTTGAAGGATGACAACAGCAAACAGAGGAAACAGGCATCAAGACAAATGATCGAAGTTTCAGATTCTTCGGACGCTGAAGAGGCTCCAAAGGCAGACAAACCTGTGCGAACCAAATACGATCGTATGTTCGAGCGAAAGAACCAGGATGTTTTGGCAGAGCATTACCAGAAGCTGGTCAGGGATGGAGACGACGAAGCCCCAGCAGATGAGTTCAGTGGTGCCGGAGCGACGAATAACGCCGCCGACGACGACTTCATGGCCGTCAAAAGACGAATTCCAGCTGATGACGATTCGGGCGATCTCGACTCGGATAAGGCTCCGGAAGTCCCACCAGGTGGTCGCCTTGTTCATATTGCTGGTGCTTCTCAACCAATTGTTGTCGACAGCAACCGCCGCGAAAAGCTCCTGCAATCGAAGAAGAAGCTTACCAAACTTATGGATAAGGGCAAGAAGCTCGTCTACGACGACGAAGGTAACCCGCACGAGATCTACGAACTCGAAGACGAGGAGCAATGGCGCGCCAAAGGTCTACCAGAAGAGCAACGTCAAAAGTTCATTGAAGCAGCACGTGAGGTTGTTCAGACCGCCGATGTCGAGGATAAGGCGACCGCGAAGGCGAAGAGGAAGGAGCGAATGCTCAAACGCAAAGAAAGAGAGAGGGCTGAGTTGGCTGGTGAAGGTGGTGAGGATGCGGGTGTCGAGCTTCCTGATCCTGGTGAGGACCTTCTGGCCAACTTTAGGGCGGACGCAGAATACAGTGATGATCAAGACGAAGAAGAGCAAGAAGAGCAGCCGAAGAAACAGAAGAAGTGGTTCCAATCTGATTCCGAAGATGAAGAGAAGACCAAGAAGAGGAAGAAGGCAAAGGCGACGCACAGAGTGGAGGAGCCGGAGACGCTGGAAGATATGGAGGCGCTTGCTGCCGGTTTGTTGGGCTAATTGGTATTTTGCATCCACTTATATGTAGTTATCAAACTCCCAGATGGGATTTTTCATGTTCTGAACCGAGATCTCTTTCTACTTCTACTCTAGCATCTAGCAAAATGCGATTATGATCTCCTCGTGTCTTACATGTTTACCAGAACTGCGATCGCCTAAACCAGTTGGCCCATCGTCTCGCTCTGGACCGGCGATAGATTGCCGACAATCGCAGCCGATCGTTGAAGGTGGCAGGGATGGCTTACCATGCAGCTGGTATTGCCTGTATACAAAATTGTATGCAGCATCATCTAAAGCCTCGTGTTGTAACCGGGGGATGGGCTGAAGAGGCTCAACGACCATCTATTTAGCCTACCGACCCATCAATATAGATGAGAAGAGCGTTGGTGGGATTTCGGGTTGGGGAGGTGTTGATGCGAGAATGGCATGTGTTCGGGTTACGAGCTTGGAATTTAAACCAGTAGAATATATATCATAGCCCTGATTCTTCAGACACTTGCCTTCCTTGTCCTTAGCAACTCTGATTAAAATCGTTATAGCAACCTGTATACTCGACTCCGTGTTGTTTCCAACGAACGACTACAATGCACATCGCCAACGCCATCCTGATCGCATGGCCAGCGTTCCTTACCTCCGCCATCCCAATAATGCCTCGAACCGCCCTAATAGGCTCTCCAAGAAATGTCTACCTCACCACTTGCACCACGCGGTCCGTTACCGCCGACACAACCTTATCCTCTGCGATCCTCTACAGCGGCTCCGCATCTACCAACAACCCCACAGACATCGGCACCGTATCTTCTCCGCGCGCTGTCCAGTGGGCTGGTTTCACTCGGCGCGTAACCCTCGAGTCTGGTGTTTTTGAATCTAGGATTGCACAGAGTGCTGACACGCTGCCGAAGAGCGAGCTTGCGGGGTCGGCGACCTTGACGGGAGATGGGAATCTCAAGGAGGAGTTTGCCTGTTTTAGGGATGGAACGAGTACGTTTAGAATTAGTGCTGGAGTGCTGGGAGCAGAGACGACGGTTTGCGTGGCAGACTTCTGGTGTGGGAGTATTGCGGTTTAGATGAAGGATAAATATGGCATGCATGGTGTTGGCTGAGTCTCTCGATACGTGACAAGCTTGTCGTTAGTGTAAGGTCTTTTAATTCCATAGACACTCTGTTCTGCATCTGCGAGGCGCATCATCATAGTCGCTGACTGGCGATCGTCATCAGAATACCATTACCTAGGTATCGTCACCAATTTCACAACGTCCCAGCCGCTAGCATGCACACAAAACATATTCTTGTTATCGAATGACACTATCTCTTATCTTTCTTGCGTAGATTTTACTTTGGAAGACGAGGCAAAAATACTGGATAAAAAACATACAACAGCGGGGATTCGCCAGTGGTCACCCACCTGACTACTAGTCCGCCGGTCGAAGGCTTAACGTGTGGAGAGCAAACGGGATCCAGTGTTTATCCTTCGCCTGTGGTCGTATGTGGAAGGAACTACAAAAAAATTGTAATCAATGTTGGAGTTGTAATACATCCGACGTTGAGCATGTCGGAGAAAGTAAGCTATGCCAGATGAAATCTTGGGAAATTGTGGAAGAAGTAGGATGAACACATAGAACACGAAAGAACTTAGTCGGAAACGTGGAAACCGTGTTGCTTCGTCCCAAAGCAAGATGTACATGATCTGTTCTCCGAATACTATACAATACGTACATAGATAGTGACATCATAGCAATACATATCTTCTAGCAAACCGTAATCAGACAAAAAAAAACGACCCACATGAACTAGTCTGTCTAGTTGATATTCTGAAGAGCTTCGTGTTGACTTAAAGCGCCTACGGAAGCACTCGTTCTCGCTTACATTCTTCCACGACGTCTAGGCTGAGAAGATACGTACATATATCTAATTTCCCGTAACATGGTTGGCAAGCGAGCGGCCCACGCAAGCGAGCGGCCCACCCCACCAACTTTCTGCGCCTTGTGAACTCCTCCCTATTATGGCTCCTCCAATTCAACCCCTACTGACCTCTTCTGAGGCTAG